CCCAAGAGATAAGAAGAGCAGAGATGAACGTCCCAGCATGAAGACTTCCGTAAAGTTGAAGATCTAGCAGAAGATATCAACGAAGATCCGATGGAAGAAATGTTAATGCATAAAAAGATGTACCCTTATCGGGACCCATTACATGGAAGCATGACAAGGAGTGAAGCACAACAGATGAACTACTCGTGCTCCACCCGATCTCGACTAAAGTAAAGGCTTTAGTTAATGGTCGTCATTCTGACATGCTACTAAAGCAAGATTCCCTTATCTTTACACGTGTCTATTGCGTTTACCGCAAACGTGTTAATGAAGATAAGTCTGGATCAACTTTACTTTCCATGAAGAGATAAGACATCATTTTCGAATCTTATCTTATCTTTTCTACTTTGTCCATACGTATGACTTTAAATAAAGTGTGAATCATGGTGTTTTGTCCTTTGTAAGGCCATTATGATGTGTGGGCCATAGTTTGAATAAGTTACTTCGGATTCCACCTTGTAACATAAGTTTCGGGTCCGAATTTCATTTTAGTTTAGCGAAGCTTTGAATTCCGTGTGTTTGTTTTCGCTATAAATAAGGGATACTTGTAATGTTGAAGGCAGAGTTCAATCAAATGAAATCAATACAAGTTCTCTTTAAAATGCTTTCTCTCTAAGTTTTCTCTTCTCTGAAAGCTTGAAGCTTATAATTCTTAGTATCGTTCCCCACTTAGATGCAAGTATGCTCTACACTTGCCTCGAAAGAGGATCCTGTGTATCAGAAAGCTTCCGATCTATGAAACCATTTTATTTCAGAGTGCTCTTCTTATAAGAAATATGAACTTGAGTGGGCTTTTAGCCGAGGGATGGCGCCGTTATGCCCGAGTATGTTCATATAGTCTGGATAAGAAGGGGTCTCTGTCCGAAATGGTATCAGAGCCTAACCATTTTCAGAAGGGGGTATGATAGTAGGAATTATGAGTGGAAAGTGAGTAAGAGAAATCTTTAAACCATGAATAGCCAAACACCACCACCAGAGTCCGGTCCCGTTAGTCCCGTTGGTCCCGTTCTTTTAAATTCAACTCTTTCTCTTCCCGAAAATATTTCAAAAACTCTTTCCTCTAAAATAGAACATCTTATAGAATATTCCTATATTCCAGAAGATGCTCAGATCTCTGAGACATACAGTCCTCTCCTTAGTCCTTATAATATTTTCAAAAGACAACGATCTACTCTTAAATCCATTACCCGTTTGATTCATACCAGAAGACCTCCTGTTAAGGAGTACGTTCAAGCCTCCAGAATGGATCAGTGCACCTTAGCATCCACTGCTGAAGAGCAATATGTAAGTATTGAGATTCCTAAAGAAGCTATTAGGCACTGGCAAACTGAAGGATACACCCATCTCCACTATGGAGCAGTTCGACTTGTTCTCTCTCTACACGGAAGACGGGGATTACCTGTCTCAGCCAGAGTTTCTCTTTTAGACTCTAGCTACCTTCACTATGAACATGCTGTCATTGGCACTGTTCTAACTACTCTTCATGCTGGAAGTGTAGTTCTCACCATCTTCCCTAACTTCAACGTTAGTTTAAGAGATCCTACAATCTCCCAGAGATTGAAGGTACAAATCCAGATCACTGGAGCTGAACAAGTAGCTGAAGCCTTATCGGCCACCCTTCATCATCAGATCATATATAGGTTGCAAGATCATGCTATTAATCTTGCCCTACCATCTTGCAAAGATGGAGCACTTTTCGTCTTGGCCAATAACCAAGATGAAACACCTTCTATAGTCCAAATCCCCGTAAATATTTCTGCACAAGAGCTTCAAAAGCTCATTCCTATGCAATGGGTCACCAATTATGAGAAGCTCCATGCTAACCGTAAACCCATCCAGCTTACGTAAGCCACTTTCGTAAGATCCGTGGATGGAACCGTCGAACCATCTTCAAGAATTCGAAGAAACTCCTAGCCCAAAGACCTCCATTTTCCAAGTCAATGATGATAATACCCGTAGTCAAAGAAGGAAAAATCCCAATCAACAGTGGTACGTCCCGATGGTAAACCTATCTTTACCGACAAGATAGGGGGACATTTCATTTGGGATATTGACCCGTAAATGTGCGATTCTCGACCGTGATCGCCGTGACCACTATGGAGACACTAGCGATGAAGACGACGACTCGTATGATGATGATGATGATGATGACTTCAAAGGAGGATCCTCGCAAACCTCCATTCTCTCCTTCCAGGAAATTTGAACCTGGAAAAGGCCCATGGATAGGAATCCATCGCCAACCCGAACCAGATCCCCTATGGAAATACAAGCGATATGTCGAAATCCTTGAAGAAGAGGGCCTCCTCTTCCCTAAACAAGAAAAGTGTAGAACCTCTACCATACTACCTCAGCCTTACTTCTAAAGCTCTTCCCGTTCCATGTATGATGATAAAACCCTCAGCCTATAAGGAAGAATTTCCTCCATTAGAGAGGAACACCGACCCAGCTTCCAAAACAATGACTAAACCTCATGTAGTTTGTCAAGAAATTGGGCCAGATGGAAAGATTAAACCATTAAGTCAGCAGTAAGAAGTCCCGAATCAGCGCATGTAAAATGCTCGAGCTCGAACTCAATCTTACGTAAGATTGACAAAAAGATTGATAAGATCTCCACGCATCTAGAGGAGACCGATGATAAGCTCCAAGCATCTTAACTCTACTTTGAGAAAACACTATAAACAACTCTCCGCGAAATCTCAAAGTTAGAAGAAGATTGGAAGACCACCGTTTTCGGAGAATTATCTCATGCAAAAGAAAGAGAAATAAGGAGACTCAAAGCTCAAATCCAAGAAATGGATAATTACATTGAAGAAAAGATTAGGCAACAAAATCCAGAGAAACAACCATATACATCCTTGTTCTCTACAACTCCAGCCTATTCTTCTTTTCAAAATCCTCCTCATTTCCGACCAAACTCACAAACCACGTGGACATTACCCACAGCCTACAGCCTTATAGGGCTAGGTTCAAACCAAGTAGCCTCTAAACCGGATAAAGGAAAGAAGGTGGCTCAACCTTCTTCGAATCATCTTTTGATGATCAACCCTCACCAAAAAGGCCTACTCAAGAAGAACCATTTGACCCAATCTTTCAAGATTCCCAAGATCCATACTCTCGCTTAACCATAGAACCCTTTCCAACCCCCGCAACTCCGCATACTCCAATAATGCTTGAGGAATCCTCTCGAGAACTCGTAAACCGAGATTCATGTTTCGATGAATCTGAAATCGAAGTCCTTACTTCGAATCGAAACGAAGTCCCTAGTTATGAGGATCTTACACGTATACTCATGACCAATACCTCCAGATCGAAGTCCGACATGAGCCAATTTACGACCCTCCGGACGAAGAAGCCGACTCAGGTCCCTCAAGGACAAATATGTCATCAAAGACAAATGGTGGACCCTGGTTCACTATTGATGATATTCCTCCTAGCCCAATGGAGAGCCGCATTAATCGAATTTGGTGCATGGTTAGATACCAAATTAGTCAACAATTCTGACTCTTATAAAGTAATTGAGGAGTTCTGCCGTAGAATGACCGAACACTTAAAGGATGGTATCATAACTTGGGAGTAGTCCGACGTAACCAGCTCCATGAACTGGGCCAAACAAGAAGCAGTACTTGGTGCTTTACATGAAGAATTCATAGGTGACGGATCAATCATCGATAAAAAACTCGACAAGAGTTTTTCGAAATGAGATGTTGCTCAATAAAAATCAAAGACTTGGAAAAACATTATCAACGAATGAGCAAAAGATTCTATCATCTCAATGGGCTCAATGATCCTAGTTTAAAGAACACCTATGTCGCATCTCTTCCTGCCGAGATCCAACCGGAATTGAACAGGATGGCCATGTCCATTCGGAAAGACTTCACCACTCGACTATGGGACAAATTCACCGAGATGACCTTAGAAGCCGTTGATAAGCTATGCGAGACAACATGAGTTCTTCTCAGACATCATGACTCGTAAAAGCAAATTTAGCAAAGCTTGCCGAAACCTATCTCTCGAGAGCATTATCCCATGTTGATGGGCTATGTTAAATTTAGCAAAGCTTTGACACCTATCCAGACTTTGACCCTTAATATTTTTTATGTTTTTAATTCATTATTTAATATTTTAATACAACGTTTAAATTTAATATTTTAAAATAAAATTTTAATGTTTTTATTAGTTTTATGTTAACATAAATCCAAAATAATTAATAATAATTATTATTACTAGTAAATATATTTAATATTAATTTTTAATAATACTCATACATTTAAATTAAATAATAACTATCATTAATCAAAACCAGTTTTAATATCATTATTTAATATTAATTTTAATAATTATAAACTTTAAATATTATTTTATTGATTATATTAAATATATTAATCAGATTTATCAATTTTTAAAAATATTTTTCTAAATACATTAAAAAAAACTTATACAAAAATAAGCTCACCGATTTCTAACACTGAAATAAAAAACACTAGTGCATATTGTTAAATAGAAAAGTATTGATTGAGAAATAATTATAAAAAAATAATCCAAAAATTCCTTTATTAACATAAAATCAATAACATATTACTTATTATTATTATTATTATTATTTTATAATTAAATAAGAGTTGTAAAATAGATACTCTTGAAAAAATTGGTTATTTGTATATCATAATTGTTGTAAAATCGAGCTCTTGAAGCCGATTTATGTGATGAATAAAATTTTAACTTTTTTTTTATTAAATATATTAATAATTAGTCCTGACACAAAAGATTTTAATTTACTGTAGAATATATTTGATGCAATATATGATATATGATTAAATTTAAAAGAAGTAGACGAGATAAAATGATCAAAATTTGACTTTTGAGAGAGAGGAGACTGCAATGCTATACAATGCCCAATGGGTACCTAGGCAAGTACAGTACAAGTTATAACGACACTAAACATCCAATCTCTGTAACACAAGATGGAAATACTCAGTTCAGAACAGCTCCAATTCTTCGATTCTCAAGGTACCCTTTTTGGTCTTAAGCATAATTCCTAACCTCGACCAACCAAATCTCAAATTTTTGGTACCACATACGCAGGTTATCTTGTTATTGAATCGTTTGCTAGTACCGATGAGATTGAGTTCATGATGAAGAGGATGCAGCAGTTGGTGGATGAGTTTGATCCTTCTTCCACCGCCTCTATTTTCTCCACCAAGAACCAGGTTACTTTTAACATTTTGTTTTCTCATCATGGTTCTCATTTTAAAATTGGACTATTTATCTTTTTCCTTACTCTTGCTCTTTATTTATTTTTTTCTTCAGCAACAGTCGACCGATGATTACTTTTTCGATAGCGTGGAGAGGATTTCTTTCTTCTTTGAGGGTATGTGAAAAAATTAATCTTTTGGGTTTTTGAGTAATCGTATTTCGTTTAGTTTAATCTTTTTCTGTTTCACTTTTGCCAGAAAAAGCATTTGGTGATGATGGTAAATTAAAGCAGCCGAAGCAACTCTCTCTTAATAAAGTTGGTCACGGTAAGCCTTTTATGCTGTGACATTTTATCTTTCACTTTTTGGTAGAAGGGATAAAACTTAGATGCAATTCTTTATATGCCTTTGATGCCGTATTTGAATCAGATTTAGAGTTTTACTTTAATAATCCTCAAAATAAATGGGGTTTTATCTGTTTACATAGTATGTAGTTAAATTAGTTAGTTTATGACAGTGGGGCACTGCTGTGGTGCTAACTGGTAAATGAATGCGTGCTCCAAGGCTAGCATTATTCCTTATAAATTGATTCAATTTCCTTTTAATTGTTGTGTTTGATTTGTGCAGCTCTTCACGAAATTGAACCCGCATTCAAGAAGTTTTCTTCTTCTGACAAAATTTCAAGTTTAATGTACTCCTTAGGTTACAAGAGACCTGTAGTAATGCAGTCAATGTATATATTTAAGGTACACTTTTGGTTCTTTGTGACATCCACTTGCTGGTAATATAGTTGAAATAACTCAAGTTCAATACTTTAATATGTTGTGGCATTATGTATGAGCAATAGATATGTGAACTGGTTGAAGGTTGTGTATATGTTCATCTTCTTTCCTGGGTTGACGGGAAAGGGAGTTATGTGATTTGGTTCTTATATTTGTACTCCATTTTGGAAAATGCACTTTCTCCTCCTTAATATTGTTACTTGTGTCAGTTGCTTCTGTAAGTTGCAATCAAACTGGCAAATTCTTGAATGATGCTTGAAAACTGTAGTGTTATAGTGGTTCAATGCATTGAATATTCTGTTATGGAGTTATTCACCTGAAAATAGAACTTATATATCTCTGCCAAAATGGCATATATCTTGTTGAGTTTTTAATGATTCTTGAATTTGATATTATTTTCTGGTATTTTGGATATATTATGGGCATATGTTGGGATGGTTATTTCAATATTGCTGTGGTTTGAACTTGAAGACCCACCCATTTTTTTGTACGTAGTTAACATATTAAATCTGTTTGAATTTTTTTTCTTCTAAGCATGCTATACAATGAGTATTTTGTGTTCCAAACTTTTTTTTTACTGGATTTTCATATATTTAAAATGAATATTTCTTTTAAAATGCATTAAAAAATAATGAGAAGAACCTTGTGTTTCTTTTGTGTTATCTTAACTAGTGCAGTTATATACTTTACTCAGTTAATTGGCTGATAGAAGCTGCTATACCTATTTATTTTATGCAAGAATTTGTTTGTTTTAAGTGTTTGATGTTTCATATGTGAGAGAAAAAATCTGGGGACATGGTTATGAGCAATTTTTATGTGGCCATATATCTAGGTATAAAAGTATTTGATGCCTGACTGATCATGAAACTTTTATTATCAGCAACCAGGCATTGGGGGTGAAGTAGTGCCACACCAGGATAACTCGTTTCTTTATACTGAACCACAAACGTGCACAGGGTTGTGGCTGGCCCTAGAAGATGCAAACACATTAAATGGTTGCCTTTGGGCAATTCCTGGATCTCACAAAAGTAACTTTTTCCTACCTTTTGGTTTATTTCTTACCCTGATAATTTATCTTTTGCTTGGTTCATATGATCTTAATCTATTTTGCTCTATGTTTGCTATAGATGGGCTTGTAAGAAGGTTCTTGAGAGATGAAGATGGTGTCAAATTCGATCGACCATCACCATCTTATGATCAAAAAGAGTTTGTTCCTATTGAAGTAAAAGCTGGTTCTTTGGTTGTCATCCATGGTGATCTTATCCACCAAAGGTTTGTCAACTATTCTCTCCATATGACGTGTATAACATGAAGTATAGAAAGAAAAATTCCTTTGACAGTGTCTTCCTGATAATTTATCCTTCTCTGCTTTTCTATCCAAATGCAGCTTTGAAAACCAGTCTCCAAAATCAAGACATGCGTACAGCTTGCATGTGGTGGATACAGTTGGCTGCAAATGGGCACCAGAAAATTGGTGAGTTTAGATCATGGGTAGAATTTGCTTGTTAGCACTTTTCCACCTTTAGGAGTTTAGTTGTCATTGAAATGTTTATTAACTAAAAGATATAGTCTGAGTTATATGATCATATTACAATTCAACACTCACCTCTGCCTTGATTGAATCTCTTAGATCCTGACCACTTCAATTTTTCCTGAGTTTTCTGTGTTTACTGTTTTGCATTCTACTTTTGTAAGAGTTTGTTGGGAAGTCCTTGTCTTAATTCTTGGAATGTCACTTGTATATTTGATAGACAACTTCACTTAATATGTTTTAAGATGAAATATAACATCTTTGGACTTATGCTTGTACCATGATAAGTGCTAAGTCTTCCTACAGGCAATAATTGACACTCGTAAGTGCAAAAGAATTGTTTGTTGTATGATAAAGTGGACTTACTATGCACACTTGCTACTGTACAGAGTAATTTGAACTTTGCATTGGTCCCAACTTTTGGGTGGATTTTGCTAAACACATGCTCATTTCTGTCAAATTTTCTTTCAGGATCAGACGAAAAGTGGAACCTGAACCACTCTTCGTAAGCTGACTTTCTGTCAAATTCTCTTGCAGTCTAGTTTTCAATTTCGAAGTTTAAAGCATTGTAATAATGTCAACCTCCTTCTTGTTGCCACTGAACCCTAGATTTCACCTCTTTCTTTGGCGTTGGGATATGAATGATCAAAATTTGATAGTTTATATTTCGATAATAATTGTTTATAATTTCAGTATTTCTTTGATTGAGTTTAAATTATATGCATTGTGAATGGACATCTACAAGGGATTCATCTTTCAGACATATATTCTTTTAGATGTCTTAATAGAATTTTTTATAGTGACAATACATTTTAAATTGAATACTTATTGTTTTCTTGTTTACTTTGCTGATATTTCACTTACTATCCTTTTTTTTTCTATTTTTTATAAGGGTATAAATGAGAAACTAATAAAAAAAAACATCTTTGAAAATTTAAAATGATAGATAAATTAAAGCAATGTTTTTTTTTTCCTTTTAAATGTAATAGAAAGAAAAGAAGGTATGGAAATCCTTAAAATATTGGTTAAAAATAAAATCAAAATAGTAAATAAATAGTAAAATCACTTAAGAACTTTGATAGTTAAAATATTTAGAGAAAATATGGTTTTGATTACGTACTGTGGGACCAAAATTGGTTTTATTCATGTATTTTCTAATAAGATAAATTTGATTCTTAAACTAAAAAAAAAAAAACGTGTATTTAGTCCTTTGTTGGGGCAGGTAATCATAGAGTATCCCTTGTTGTAGTTTGAAATATAGCTTTTAGTGGTTATAGCTGTCGCAAAAGATGCACTCAACAATGGTTTTTAATCACTACAATTTATAACGAATGGTTATTTATATAAGTAATTTTTTTATTGTTGTGCCACAAAATTAAATAAGATAGAAGAGATATTTTGTTTGTCTACATATTTTTTTCAAACTAATTAAATTAAATATTAATAGGAATATTTACTATACCATTATCCATGGAAACTTAGTTCTAAAAAGGAGGATACTTTGAATGTTTGGTGAAATTCAATCAAACTCATTTTTCGTTTAATTAGTATTGGGTTTTCGTGTTGAACCCATCACATTCATTGTAAAATATATTTTGAATTAATTAATTAATTAATTATAGATGTTTTATAAAGAAATGAATATTGTAAAATCTTAGAGCTTTTTAACGTCCAATAAACATATGCTCTTACGTCTTCTCACTTTGTATAAAATTATTATTTAATTTGATTCAATTTGTTTAAATGTACTCTTGAATCAAAATACATATATAAAATATTCAAATGTTATATCAAAATGGATAGATAGAATTGGTTTAATTTGAATTTGATTAAAAAAAAATGTTGTGAGTTGTAAGTAAAAATAAATGAATGAATAACTAATAAGAAACATTATTATTGAGTTTGTAAGAGATGGTCGGGGGACAAACAGCTATGTAATAGTTAATCAGCATCCAAACATGAGACACATCTATAGGCACCAGATTGAGTTTGAGGTTGGCTATATGATACGGTTACTATTTACTGTTTTAATTCTTCTACACGTGAGACACGCAGCCATGCTTTAATTATGCGACAACGTTTTTGCTTTGCATTCAATAACCATTCACTCTCTCACTCACTCTACTATCATCCACACGCAAACTTTTTTTTTTTTTAACACAGAAAGGGTTCGTCATGATTCTTCCCAGTAACAGAATAATCTCACTTTTGTTTCCCACTTCTCTATCATATGTTTACCGTATCATTCATTTCACTCCAATTAATCTTATATTTTTTAACAAGAGTCACATGTTCAAAAGTAAATTCCATTAAAAAAATGAAGTGGGTTCCCAAAAGAGCTATTGCAGGGGGAGATGAGAGTGATTAAAAGATGAAGAAAAGGTACACATGAAGATGTCAGGTTGCTAAAATTGTGAGCACGATTTTTATTTGAAGTATCATCTAACTGTACTGGCAAGCCATAAAAAATTGCAACAGATTGATTTATTATGGAGTTGCTGTCAAGAAATCATGACTTTATTTGAGGCTTCTGCAGTTACGTGAAAGTAAAACATTTTGGCTGATGAAATTAAAGAAGCAGACCTGTTTTGTCCTCAATGCATTTGCCCTACTTCTATTTGTATAGTTAGCATAAAGTGTTTGTTATTTCTCACACAACATGATTCTCTGGCCCTCTGCTTCTCATTTGTTAACTTAGTGCAACAAATTCTAACGCAAAGATTCGTTTACATTCACAAAACGGCAAGTAGCAAACCAGACAAGTTATATGCATCAATATAATATATATAAAAAAATCGTATCACTTTGAAATTGACCCTTAACTGAACATTTTACCTTTAGAGAGACTCTTCATCTACCCTTGTAAATATTCGTTTCTACAAAACATGTCTTCAATTTAGAGCTGTGTTAACTCAACTGTTTCTACTTTAGGGAGAGGAAATATAGGGGATGAATTTGAAGAAAATGAGCAAAAAAATTTATGTGTTTTCTTCATTATTTAAGAGGAAGCTATGTGAAAACATCACATCTTAGATCAGAATATGGGTGGAGTTGCTTAATTGTTTTGCAACATTTAGATAATTCTTTTTTTCCAATAGTGGCTGTTAAAGTTGTGATTGTCCAAAAGTGTAGTTTGTTCATATACAGTGTCAACTGCGAGGTACAAGACAAAGCAAAGAAGTACTCATACGAAACAGGTCTCCTATGTGTACTTCTAGGTTGTGTGTCTCAAACGGAGGAGGAGAAAGGAAGAGTGAAAGGCACTATCCACTCTGAGGGAAAAAAAAAAAAATTTAACCATGTGAGCGTGTTGTGTAGGATGGAAGAGGAGACATAGGGAAGAAGCAACTTTAATAACACTACATCATCATCATCATCAGCATCATCATCATGCTATGTCCTTTTTCAGGAACACACACACCTTCACTCTCCAAATCTCTCAGAATTCTACGCTTTCCATTTCCCACTCTCTTCTCTCTTTCTCTCTCTCTCCTCATGATTTGAATACATAACTCGCTTTCTGTATTATTACTATTGTATACTATTATACATATTGGTCAACTCTTTTGTTGGTTGCTGCTCCACCTAAAGCTTTTACTACAACTTCCCTCTCCCTATAAATACACTATCCCTCTCACCCCATCCATTACATCTTTCTCACACACAAACCCTATTTTCAAACCGCAAAAGGCAGAAACCTTAGTAGCCAATTTGCAATACTATGACAAAGACCTTTTAGAGTAGATTCTAAAACTCAACATGTCTGATTCATTTGGTAGTACCTTTCACTCTTCCACTCCAAACATCAGCCCCCATGCAGCCCCCAAAATCTCCACATTGTGCTCAATAGCCCAACCGTATTGTATTTGCACCCAGTGTAACCACGTCCTCGCCTTCAACCACCATGTTGGTAAGCCTAAGTCAGATACTAAGGGCATGTCTGTAACCATTCTAAGCATATTTTTGAGCGTTGAATGTTGGGACATTCTTTGTATCTTTGATTTGTATATTTGGAACAAGTGAAATGATTATCCATATATAAATGCACTGATTCATCAAATTCTCATACATACACATGCTCATAGTATAGCCGTCTTACTACTCTTTTTTAATGTGCCTAATTAACATTGACTTGGTTATGGTAAGAAATTTGATTGTATTGTGAAGTGTGAACTTACACTTAGGATAATCATTCATTTCCCATGTGTCCTATGGTGCAGGTAATGTAGCAGAGGAAGGGACAAATAACGCAGGGTCCCATGTCTCCCAGCAAAGCACAAGGTGGAGTCCAACGCCAGTTCAGTTACTCGTCCTTGAGGAGTTGTATAGGCAAGGAACTAAAACACCATCAGCTGAACAAATTCAACAAATAGCTTCACAGTTGCGCCAGTTTGGGAAGATTGAAGGGAAGAACGTGTTCTACTGGTTCCAGAATCACAAGGCGAGAGAGAGACAGAAGAGGCGTCGCAGGGAGATGGAGGAAAATAATGCTGCTTCTTCTAGTGAAGGTAAGCAAGAAAGATAGTACGTTATGGGAAATTCAGAAAAGGCAGTAAGATAGAGGCAGGAGGTACATATACAGCTAGATATTATCATGTGCTAATACCATAACGTTTTTTTGGCCTTTGGGGCTATTCAAGGTTCTTTTAGTGGTCAAAAGATTCCTATATTATACATCACTCTTGCACTGATGATTAAAACCATGAGAGAGAGATAGAGAGTGCGTGGTTTCTTATGATTTTTTTAGGATGCAAGATTTGACGTTGAATTTTGGGGGTGTTTGGATTTTGGCCCAGGGTTGAAAGAGACAGGTTGTGGAGTTAAAGAGACAAAGAAGTGGGCATCCACTTCAAACTGCAGTGGACATGCAGAGGTCTGTAATTACTCTTGGCTTTGTTCACGGTACTGCTACAACATTTTATTCAGCTTTGTTAAGCAAAGATACCCCAAAGATTATAGGAGACCAATAATAGGGTCTAATTATTTGTTCACAAGGTAAAATAAAAGATAAAGCCAAAATAAATATTTTACTCGGTATTGACAAGTAACAAAGAAATAAAAGAAAACAACAAGAGCTTTTGTATCTTGGAAAAAAGGAGAGGTATCAAAAGCTGCTTTTTTTAACTTTCTGTTGGGGCTGTTTTGTGCTAGATCAGTTCAGAGTTTCTTGGACTTGTGAATTGAATGTGAATTATGAATTTTCTCCACCCCATTTTTATTTATCTCTCTCTCTCTCTCTCTCTCTTATCTTTTAATTTTAAATTGTTTTTACTGCTAACTTTTACTATCCGTATATTTTTCAGGAATCTGCTGCACTGGATATAGCAGAAAAGGGATCTAATGGGTGGACTCAGTTTGAGGAGAGAGGCATACAAGTTTTGAGGAGAAACATAGCAGAAAGGCAAGCTAAGTTGCAATTGCAAGATAATGTGGAAATGCCTTGTTTCCCTCCCACGACTATGGCAGCTCTTGCAACTTCACACAGAACACTTAACACGCAACTTTTAATCCCTCAAAGTTATAACGGAGAATGTTTAAGCTACTATGATGGAGAAAATGCAGATCCTCGAACCCTCAACCTATTTCCACATAAGAGGGATGACCAAGATAGCATTTGTCTTGCTGAGAGGAAATCTATGTTCTGTGCCAGTGCTTCCATGGACACGGATATCACCTCCAACCAGTTTTTTGAGTTTCTTCCTTTAAGAAACTGAATGGAGCTGGTATGGTATGTCATGTCATGTGATTTTTGGAATACATATATGCACTTGTTTAACCAAAATAATTGGCTGTAACGAATAATATATATACATGTCCATTAATTTCTTTTTCCCTCTTTTTGGGACTCGCAAATCTTTGGTTTCGTTTCTCTCTTCTGAGTCAGTGATCATGCATGTAGAAGTTACCTGTACGCGTGCATTTGGACCTAATTTTTTTGTCTTGTTGACTCACTTCACGACTTTTCAGTTTTTGAGTCCCTGGTTTTTGGGAAAGACGTGCTCGTCATAAACTCCATATATATTTTGTTTTAAACTTAAGATAGAGCGACTCACACACCCCTTTTACGTAGATAATGATTGATTCGCTAACAAGGATCGTTGTTTTTGTACAGAACCAGTGTAGAGTCTCTATCTCTCCTCATCTCTGTGTCTATTCACATTGGGACATACCCAGTGACAGAGATCTAACTGATGAGAACAGTTCATCTTCACCATATGTTATAACTGATTAAGACTCCTTTACTTTATTCTAAATCCCTTTGTTTTGATTAGCTGTTCCAAGATTATTTCTTCCCGTATATTTTCGATATATATAGAAAAATGTCAACATGTGATACTTGTATGTGTATCCTTAAAAGTTAGAAAAAACAAAAAGACAACTAAGTTTTGAGCAAGCTTTGAATACTAGGTACTTTCTACCATGCCCTTCTTAAGAATTTAAATGCTACAAAGGATTATAAAGATTTGTGACCAAGCCTTACTTGCGTATGCATATGAACCTTAATGTGACCATCAATCTTCAAGTGGTTTAATCCTCAATTTTAACAAGCCTAATTTTGATAGAAAAAGGAGATATTACCTCCAATTTTAAAAAATCTTCAAATTTTATCTTTTTGTGATATTTATCACCTTTATACTAATCATATCGACAATATTTTTTTTTTACATACCAACAATCTTTATTTTAGATGTTTTTAGAACTTAGTCATTATTACTAATACATTCTCGATGATTTTATAATTTTTAACGTAACTAGAAAACTTTGATATAAGAGATAGATTCACATATAGGTCCATCATATCCATTATCATTCATAACTTATTTGAGTTAGGCATTTGGTTGCCACATCAAATACCATTCATTAAAATTACAAAGGTAATAAAACACTTCATAAAATTTCCATTAATGAACCATGAATTAGTAAAAAAAATTAAAATAACATTATACTGCTACATTAAATACAAAACTTCAAAATAATAGATCTGTGTCACTCCATAAATACTCAACATATTCATTTCTAATATAAGACTTATTTTTTTTATAGTCGCACGCAGCAAAACTAGCACAAAACCAATAGAACATAGCATGGTAGCAATTTAAGAAAGAAAGACCAAGGAGGAAAACCTACAAATAAAATTGATATATGAATTAGCATAATTTTAAGTAATTATTAGTATGTTTGATCTTCTAAGATTATTATAGAGATATTGTTAATGTTAATTATTATGTTTAAAATATTATTTATTTCAATTTTATTGTTTATCATGGTTTTGTCTTTAAAAGTGTATATTACACGTCACTGTATTTATAGTCGATGTGATATTTTTCAACAAATATTAATTTTAAAAATTGAAAAGATTTTAGATAACTTTTATATTAAATGAACAAATACTTTAAAAATATTCAAACATAAAATAGGTTGAGTTTAGGGTTTATTGAAACCTACATCGTGTAATACAGTTTAATGGATAAGGATGACAACGGGACGAGGCAGACAAGAATAGAATTATCCGTCCAGTAAATAAAAAATTCACTCGTTATTTAGTGGGTATTCACTTAAAAAAATATTTATGAATTTTTTTATAACTGTGTGTATCCATGGATATTCGTAAAATTTATTTATTTATTATTTTTCTTTAAATATAATATTTTAAAAATCATTTTAATTAAAAAATATAATTTAAATAAAATTAGTCTTTATAAAATATTAATTTTAATAAGTTGTAATATAAAAAGCAAATTTAAATAATATTACTTTTTTTAAAATAAAGAGAAAATTAAAAATTAACAATAAAGAAAATATAATCATGCAAGCCTTCGTATTTCTACAAGCCGTTATTATATAAAAAAAATTAGTTCTTGTGTAACGGTCTTCAGTGTAATAGCCGATAAAATAATATTATCTATAGTATTATTAATGAGAAATAATTATTTTAATATTATTTATTTGAAAAATATGAGAGAAAAAAAAAGTATGATAGACTAGAAAATAATATATATATATATATATATATATATATATATATATATAAATTAAATTTTTTTATTTTTTTAAATTATATATAGAGAGAGAGAGCAGTGCATTAGGACATGTGTTTTGATTGGTTTGATATAAATAAAGTTGAAATGAGTGTGGAAAGAAAGCAGCTTCTTTCCGCGTTTAAGGAGTTTCAGCTTTTTGCATTGGATTTGTTTGCATCTGTTATCAAACATTTGGTATGCTCGTGATGATGAACTTAAACAACTGTCAATGTCGAATATCCCCTTTTTCATTCAACTTAACAAACTGCATTATGCTGTGAAGACGTGATTTTACCCTTCACACTCACAACTTCAAAAACAAATCATTCACTGTTCTCCTTTTATGGGTCAAAATCCCTCCCTCATACCAACAAATAACTATCATTTGTTTTTATATATTTATAAATATATAAATACTATTTTTCTATAATTTATTAAAATGTTTCTAAAGATAAAAATCGTAAAAAATTACAATTTTAAAATAAATTATACTTAAAATATGAGAATTAGATTACCAGAATAAGAATTTATAACTAAATAAAAGTTGAGAGAAAAAAGAAACAAAATTAATAATAGATAATAAAAAAATTTTATTAAAAAAATTATAATATATTTTTTTAAATCTAATGACAAAACAATAATATTTTCTAAAGAAATAAAATAATCCAATTAGGAAAAAAAGAAAAAAGTTATTTTAGGTGATTTATAAAATAAATATTATAATTTTTTTATAGAAAGAAAATAAATATTTATATATACTTTATTTAGTGTGAGATTTATTTTCTATTATCCTATTACTCTTAGAGGAAACTTGAAGTAGAAACAATCTTATTTTTAAATTAAATATTATTTATTGATAGTGATTAACTTTTTTCTAAATCACATAAATTCATTTCAAATCTTAATTAAAATATAATATAAGAATTTATTAAAGGAAAAAATTATTTTAACAAAGCATCTTTTTTCGAACATTCCATCAACAATTGAATTTAATGTTATAATAATATTTAAAATTATTTTTATTTTCATTAAATCCTTTTATAATTATTATATTAAAAAAAGTTATCTAAGGAATATCGTTTGAGAAACGGGTTGCCAATATATCATTTTTCTTTACTAAATTATGCTTGATTTAGTTTGTAGAAAAAGTAGAATACCAAGTTGTATTTTTTAATGTATTTGAAAAAAACTAATATAATAATAAATGGGAGCGAGAGAGTTTTGAAGCAAGAATAAAATTAGAGGTTGGAAACATTGCTTCAAGTTTACATCTATTTATTTTGTTTTTTTATTTTTGAAATTTTTGTATATGTACAAGTTTAATCTCCTTAACTTGAAGATTTTTTTTTTTAACATTCGTTGATAAAGAAAAGAAAAATAATAATACTTATAACCTGGTACAGTTATAAAATGTAGGTGAGATGAAGTAAAATATCAGAAAGTGTTAATTTATTGTGATTTGATTTGGATGTTTAATATGTAATTTTGATGTTTATTCTCACGTAAATAATTCTATTTCCTTTGATGATGTTAAGATTAAGTAGAGGAATTAATTTAGATTTTTTTTCATAAATTGAGTGGGAAAGAAATTTTTAATGGATTAAAAATTATTTTAATTAATTAAAAATTGTTCTTCAAGTTTATGAAAAAAATAACAAGTTAATTTTACTGTTTACTTAATGTTTACAATATTTATAATTTTTAATGGATTAAAATTTGAATTAATATAGTAATGTTCTTTTATTGGGTGATAAATGTTTATATAAATTAAATTATGTTTTAACAAATTAATCTTATTATTTTACAAAATCAAAATATTGAAAATTATTGGTTAAAGAATCACCATTAAGATTATCTGTTATATGTATATAAATGATTAAAAAAATATCAATTATTTATTCACATAATTTATTAATAATAAAATTTAATACATATTATGTTGACGTATATCATAAAAAATGTATATTATATTAATATGAGACCAAAATTTTTAAATTTTAAAAACTTGAAGATAAAATCTACAATTTAAAATTTTATAAAATTTAATTACAAACTCTATATAACATATTTTTTTTAACATCTCGTCAATATCTTTTTTTTCTTTCTCTTTATCACATTATAATTATTATAAAAATTATTTTTTTCTCTATCAATGTGCCATGTGTTTATCTTTTAATTTCGTGGGTATTCGTGGAAATTTTTCCTTTGTAAATGGCCTCCAAAAGTTTTAAAGCAACTAAGAGTTGAGTGTTGATAAAATAAACAAATAATTTGAGAGATAGTGAGAATGTAATACCATAATAACAGTATATAAATTACTGTGACAAGTTTTTCCCAATCTGTTGCGGTAAAAACTAATGATGATGTTCATGGTTATATATAACTATGTAGTTGGATGAAGGAGTTGAACTATGAAGGTGCAAATTTAATTTGATGAAGTTAGATGAAGAGTGTGAAGAATTATGATAAAATGCTGATAGATTTAAGAAGTGAAAAGAGATGGAAAAAGTGGCGTGGATGGGTGAGGTGACGTTGACCCAGCAAGAGCAGAAGTGAAAGATCATGACTCACCCCTGAGCAGAAAGGTACACAAGGTGTATGAGGAATTGAAAGAGAGAAGAAAAAAGAGAAAGAAAAGGGTTGCATTTATGTGGCAATGAGGCAGTGATAATTGAAGAGGGAAACGAAAGAAG